GGAAAGGCTTTACTTTAAATTCCATTAAAAAGTTTCAAGGCACGGGTTGGTGATCTGCTGTTTGTTTGACCCTGTTCTGTCATTACTCAAAATCATATACTTAATCCATTTCTTAAAATAGAATCAACTTTTTACAGAGCTTGTTCCTCCAGCTTAGGTCACCATGATATTTTTTGGGGTGGGTAATGGCCAGTGTTATCTCCAGCTGTGTATAAAGTTAAAGTGATAGGCAAGGGAAGCAGTGTTCTTAATTCTCTCATGCAGCCACTTCTGGCATGTGGGAAAGATGGAGGTGCTGATGAATATCCTATTCCATAGGCAGGTTAATGCTTTCTGGTTTTTAAGCAAAAAGACACAGACCCTTGCTAAATTGCCAGAGCAGGAGATAAGAACAAGAGTGAAAGCTGTCATTCATAAGCAATTCTTTTTAAACATCCCAGGCAAAGGGATGAGTTATTCCACTGTTCTGAATTAAAGAGCAATCAAAATGGAAATCCAGGTTGAAAGTTGTGAATGCACAGCCATCGGCAAGCAAGAGGACATCATCTGGAATGACTCTTCCAGAAACCATTTTTCCACAGGCACCCAGTCCAACTGAGTATACTCTTATCTCACTCTAGGGCCCGTTTACAACTCACATGACAAAGACAGAGTTACTATTCTAATGCAGTCTAAACAGTTTAAAATCTGTAATTCACCCGCTGGAATGACAAAGTGTTAAACAGTAACATGAATGCACTTTTTTATTAAATCTTTTGTATCTTTTGGGGAATTACATTTTCACAAAAATATACAAAAGATATTTTATCTTTACAAATATTTACATTAGATACCAGAAAACAATGTTAGCTACATATATTAAACTTAAATTTGACAACTATACTTTTGAATTCTGAAACTTAACACTCCAGGAAATTATTTTCAAATATATTTGTGAGATAAAGTACTTAAAGTTTAGCTCATATTCAAATTTAAAAAAAAATCTTAATTTTTGTAAAATCTGAAGTTTTAATTTATATATTTAAACAACATAGAAACTACAATGTTGTATGGTAACAGGGGTTACATGGTCATGGTGAAAAACAAAATGGGAGCACGCTTAAAACCATGATCCTTATTACAGTAATACATGATCATACACCTTTGGACTAGTTCAGAGTACATTTTTTTTGGTTAAAGCAAGAGGGATTATCTGACAAACACTTCATAATAAAACGCAACAAATATAAAAAGACATCTGGGATCTGTGATTTTAAGCTTAAATAACTACAGTAAGATATTTTCCTAAAGTGACCTGACAGCTGAGTGGAGGGGCACAGGATAGGATCTTTTCCCATAAGGAACAGTGCTGAAATACTCTTCTTTTTTTCCCCAAAATAAAGAGACTGCAAATGAAGTTATTGTTATACAGAATTTTAAAATAGTTCCATTAGCTGCACTTTTCAGAAATACATTTGTTAGCAGGAAGCTGTTTTAACCTTTTGAGTATGAGAGAAAAGAAAAGCATTATCATTCGTGGGGTAGCAGTACAGATTCATAATATCTTCACTGCTGAATTTCAACAGCTTTGATGTTTTATCTCCAACTGTACAGTATTTAGCATACGGCAATCTGCTGACGCCCTTCACTAATAAAAATAGTGGTTAACCAAGCCACAAAGTCAAAAGGATATGTAGTTTCAGGCAGAGGGGAATGTTTTGTAATGTGTGCCATTTAGATTAATTGTATATTATTTTAAATGCCTACTGTGGTCTTGATCTTATTCTTATGTAAAACTTTACATAAGATGTACATTCACTTTCTTCACAAATTAATAAAGCAGCTTCTCCATTACACAGCATAATATACTGTATACTCAGAAGTCAACTAAAAAGTAGTTAAACAAAGCTCACAAGCACCAGTTGCTGCTTTGTTAAACTTACAGTAGCTACACCAAGCCCGAAGGATGATAACTAATAGTAAGTAAAGGAAAATGACTAGAAATGTGGAAAGCATTACCTGACAGCACCAAAATTGCCACAAGAGTAGTAAACGAACTTTATCATGCAGTTTATGCCAATGTTCATGCTTGGAGTTTATAAAATGCATTTAATATATTCCCAAAGAATTCCATAATTGAGCATGTCCTGGGTACAGCAGATGTTTGAAAAAAGCACAGAATTATGGAAGTGCCACATGCAGCTCCAGTGTTACAGATGAGTAGTAAGTAAGCTTTAAGTCTTGCACTGAAAGCTGGGGAATCAAGCATTTTATTCTGTATGAAGAATACACTATCATTCAAGATTACAGCCCTTACCTTTGAATACAGAATGTTTTTTCTGAGAACGTAGAAGTCAATCTACAAATTAATTTGAGCTCACCAGTTTTAAAGTGGACTGTAACAATTGAAATGTTTTCTAGCAACTGTTTTATTTCAAATGACAGACTCTGCAAGCTTCCTGTGTAGTTCAAGCTTAATGACAGTCAAGAGTCACAGAGAAGTAAGGCTGAAAGGGATCTCAAGAGGGTCCAACCCCCTGCCTAAGGCAGTATCATCCCTATCCAAACCATCCCATACAACCATAATCTAAACTGTATAAGACTGCCCTCAACCTTGACACAACATAGACCTAACAGCCTCATCTGCCACAGGTAAAGCAGGGAAGCCACAGCAGCCAATATCCTGCTCCTATAAAATATCAATATATTCTCAAGAGGTTCCAGGTAGAGGCGCACGCCCCCTGCTACAGAGGAAGGCAAAAACCCCCATAGTCCATACCAGTCTGACCATGGGGTAAAATTCCTTCCTGACCCCAGATATGGCGATCGGTCAGACCCTGAGCAGGGGGCAAAACCCTCTAGCCTGGAACCTCTGGCTTTGCTCTTAGCAGGAGAATCAGCGCACCTCAGTTGAAGTCCCCAGCCTGAGGTGCAGCAAACACCCAGTGCTTCTGGGAAGGCTTAAAAACATCTCGACACATATAGCAGAAAAAGGTGGGAGAAGGGGTAGGGCAGGGTGGGAGCAACCAGCAAAGCCCAGAAGCCTGGGAAATACCCATGGTAGAAAATCAGTATAGCTATGCCTAGATCATCCCCAACCAGTGGCTGTCTAACCTCTTTTTGAACACCTCCAGTCATGAAGAGTCCACAACTTCCCTAGGCAGTCTAGTCTACAGTTTCACCATCTCGCTGTGACGACGTTTTTCTTGATACACAATCTAAATTTACTTTGCTGCTACTTCAAGCCATTGGTCTATGCCCTCTCTGCAGCAAGAGAGAAAAGGTGCTTTTCCTCTTCTTTGTGGAAGCCCTTCAGGTATTTGAAGACTGCTATCATGTCCCCACTTAAGTGCCTTTTTTGCAAGCTGGACATGCCTAACTCCTTCAGCTTCTCCTCATACAACTTGCCTTCCAAGTCTTTGATTCTCTTTGTTGCCTGCCTGTGTACCCTTTCTAACCTCTCCACATCTTTTTTTAAAATGTGGAGCCCAGAACTGTACACTGCTCCAGATGCGGCCTAACCAGTGCCGAGTAGAGAGGCACTATCACCCCAGTCTCTGCACCTAAAGCAGCCCAAAACCACATTAGCCTTTTGTGTGTCTGCATCACACTCGGAGTCGTACCGAGTTTGTGGTCTACCAAGACCCCAAGCCCTTTTCCATATTGCCATCCAGTCAGGTGTCATCCATTTTGAATACGTGTTTTTGATTATTCCTCCTGAGGTGCAGCATCTTGCATTTGTCTACACTGAACTTCATCCTGTTAGCTCCAGCCCAATTTTCCAATCTGTCAAGATCGTTCTGAATTGTGTTCACATCTGGTTCACAATTCTTCCCAGTTTCATGTTGTCTGCAAATATGCTCAAGAAGCTTTCCATGCCAGCATCCAAATTGTTAATACACACGTTAAACAGGACAGACAGACCCCTGTGGGACTCCACTTGAAACCTAGCACTCTGATGCGGACCCATTAATAATTATTCTTTGCTTGTGGCTATTGAGCCAGTTATCTATCCACCTTGTAGTTTTATCCAGCCCACATTTTTCCAATTTATCTCATGCACTGACTACATTTGTTGAGGATCAACTTCTAGTTTTTGCCATTATTCTTAACTAAGTTTCTTCCTCAACAGGGGCTGACAACAGTGTTCTTCTACAGAAAATTCCAGGGAAAAGTGTCCTGGGAAAATGTCTCTTAAAATAGCCATGAATTAAATAGGGCATTTTTGCAAGTGCATGTTCTTTGTGAAATTGGCTGAAAAAGGTGTTCCTCACGCAGTACTGAAGAAGAAACTAAAGGAGAACATTAATCCTTAATTTTTGTTTAAAGAAAAGAGGTCTGCAAGCAAAAGAGGGTAGGGATAAGCTTCACAGAGGTGTGCAAAGGGAGTTGTGGGGTGAGGGGAAACTGGCATGTGGGTGCTTGTGGGGGGAATATGGAGGTCACACACTGCATCACCCTTGACTGGTTGAGAGCCACTGCTCTAAGAGAACTGGCCACAACATGCCAGCTATGCTGCACTGCTCCAGCCTGAGAAACTGCAGGAGTGCACTGGTGAATCTGGGCCTAAAAAATGAAAGGATGATACTGTATCTTTACATCATGAAAAATATCCCATGGCAACATTCTTTGGGATTTCATAATGGTCTTTGCTTAGATGTTCATAAATCTGGTAAAAGTTCCCAGATAGTAACATGGAGGTACGAAAGAAAATACATATCAGTAATGTTAGTATAAAAGCACCATAACAGTGTCCTAGTGGATCCCAAAGCAAGCGTTATGAACCCAGGAAGTTCATGTAGGTTAAAATTAAAAAAAAGAAAATGTGAGACTATACACCTACGGTACTAATAAATCTCAATTCTGTCCTCTAGTGACACCAAGAGGAAAAAAAATAAAGCATTTCAATCTCAGCATCTAGGATGACATATGTGCTGTGTGTCACTGCAGTTCTACAGTGCTTGCATGGTATTTCTTCAGGGCC